CAACAAATAAATCATAATACACAAAATATCATATTCATATAAAACAAATAACTCATACGAGTACCTAACAATATAATCAACAGACCATCTATCCTTTAAAAATTATAATCGCAAATAATATTATTAAAAAATATGATACCTTAAGGAAAGGAATGAGGAACTCACTGGACCTCTTCTTTCTTGATTGACCGGAACTGATCGTATCCAAAACTGGATCCAAGCGACCGAAGCTGATCGTGCCGGAGCTGGCGAATGTCGAGACAACGATAAAGGTTTGACGACAACTCGGAAAACTGGCTTCTTCAAGCAAATAAAATGTAATTTGCAGGAACGGCAAATAATAATCTCACGTGTTTTTTCCCTTTTAATTCTATTTACAACAAACATAACGACCCGCAACTGTTGTCGTGAGCGAAGCCCGATAATAACAACCGACACGGAAAAGGGAGCCGGATAACACAGCGGTGAACTAGCAACGCCGCAGGCTTGCCAGCTGCCGCACGTTCCAGCTGAACGGCGGCGCTTGATTTCTCAACCAAGGGGGGTGCCCGTTATCGCTTATCATAACTTGCGCGAACAGTACTTCTAATGGAGGTGGTAGATTTCCAAAACTGTCATAATATTGAACTTGATTTCCAATTTTTTATACGCTACCCAGTGAGTACCTGTACCGTGTTCCGAGTCCAAGTTAACAATCGCTGATTCTATTCGTTTACGACGTACGGGTAACCTATCTCTAGTAAATACACCGATGAAATGAGGTATTTTCATTAAACGAGCGATTTTTATAAGTTCGTAATCGTACAGTGCTCTTCTGGGTAACGATATTAGTTTTTTTTCGCTTTTACACTTATACGGCGCTAGACCTAAAAGGGTGTAACACGATTGCACCCAGCTTACCTTTTTCCATTCAAAAAAGGCAACACGATTGCGCTCGATTAATTAGCACTGTCTCGCCCGTTTTACCTTTTAACCTGCATAAAATGCAACATGATTGCGCTCCAATATATATAATACATATATATTATATATATATATATATATATGTATGTGGCCCGTATATTATGTATTTGTCATATATATATATATTCTAACAATTTTCTAGTAAACTATTTAAAAATAATTTTCCTTCAATTTTACAGGGTTAGGACTGACAACAAAGTTAAATTGTTAACTTGGTTAAACATTTCGAGTCATATTTTTTGTTTTAATACCAATAATAATAACAATAATATGTAAAATAATATCTAATAATAATATGTAAATAAATATAAAAAAAAAATATCAAGTCCAAGGAAAACCAAGTTCGACTGTATTTTTAAATAGTATACTAGAAAATTGTTATAGAATATATATATGACACATACGTAAAATACGGGACACATAATATATATATATATATATTGGAATGCAATCGTGTTGCATTTTATGCAGGTAAAAAAGGTAAAACGGGCGCGACAGTGTTGATTGATCAAGCTCAATTTGTTGCCTTTTTTGAATGGAAAAATTTAAGCTGTGCGCAATCGTGCTGCACCGGACCTGAACCGATTTTGTGCGAGTTGCCTTTATACGGTGTGAGATATAACCCACCACCTAAATGCGATGGCGTGTTTCTTTTAAATTCATTAGCCAACTTAACAACGTTTGCAACACCACCAGTCAGTGCTCCAAGTGCCGATAAACCAGCGAAAATCGGAATAAGTAGTAACACCCCAACCTTTTTTTAAATTGTTATAATCCTTGGAACTTTAGTTTTTCTTTTTTTGAGTGTTTTTCGTGCGACGGTTAGACATTTTTTACTTAATTTCATCAGGTTTTTTTCATCGATATTTTTCTTTATAGCGTTTTTAGCTGCTTTAAACCCACATCCAACCCCGATTTTACGTTTTGCTTTCATGGCGATAGTCACTCCCCAAGCTACAGCTTTTTCTTTTAATTTTGAATCCTTAGCCTTAAATCTATTCCAGGCTCGCTGTTCTAATATATAATCGGCTTTGTTACGATCTGTGAAAGAATTACTATTTTCATACGCAATGTCGTGCTCTCTACAAGCAGAGTCCAGAAGGTTTATACCTGTTGCCGCTGTCAGCTCTTATTTAATAAAAATAAGTAGTGCCTTCACGACTGAACTAATATATGCATTGGTTTAAATCAAGTATATAAATTAATAAATAAATTGCCAGGTAGGTTTATAATAATTTATTATAAGATAAATGCAATATGGCCTCTTGGCTTTAAATAATAATACAAATTACAATCACGCTATATAGCAAATAATAATACAATAACGCTATATAGCAAATAATAATACAAAAACGCTATATAGCAAATGTGCATATGTTTAACATACTAAACAAAATTAAGGTTTTTTTGTACTATTATATTATTATGTATTTATGTATATTACATGTGGATACTATAAAGTAATATACAGAATGTGAAGAATGTTCCACAAGGATATATTCATTTGCATCCAAGTAAAAATCAGTTTTTTTTTTCCATTATAGGTACCTACTTACAAACTGAAAATTATTTAAAATCATAATATTATTGAAAATAAAAGTTTGAAACATCAACATTTATTAAGAAATAAATTGTAAAATGTCCAACTTAATTTTTATCAGAAGAAGCATTGCATGCACATAATAGCATAGCATATAATTTATTATAATACCTACATTACCTACCTAATAGTCAGAACTTAAATCTTAATTTGTGGTAGAGTGCTATTAATTATCTTGTTAACCTCCTTACCATATAGTAAACGTCTAATATTTATAAGTTATAACATAAATAGTGTCTAGTCTAGGTCTAGTAAGTCACTTTGGAATTAGGTATAATAAGGTTGGTAAAATTTCAATTTAAAATAAAAGTATGTATGATGGCTACTGATAAGGTTTATCTAATAAAAGAAATGTCTTATAAAGAGAAACTTTACTTTACTAGTGAAGAGATCAACTTTTTATGTATAAAATACAATATGTATATATGTGTATATATATATTTATTGTAAACGTAAAATATTATTGGTCAGGGGGTGGTGGTGTTCAATAATTTTAAACGTTTGCCCTACCTCATTTTTTTGGTTTCGGCGCCACTGAACCACGCTCACTTTTTCCGTGACGAGGCTCACGCTGCTTAGTCGCGGGAGAGGTGCATTATTATTTCACGAACTGTCGTTCAGAATGTTTCGCGTCTTTACAGACCGTTGCGTAAATTGTCGCCCATGAATACTAAACGGTGCGCTAGCTCGCTCCTAGCTCACAAGTCGCACACCTATTTTATAAATAAACCTCCTGTTTGCTTAAAAATACTAACCAATAAACCAAGCATACAAGTTTTTATACACCATAACTCGATTTATATTTTTAACCCAATTACTTTTTAAAATACATGTAAAATAATAATTCCATTACGATTAAATAGATTTTTTAATAAAAATGTTGAGTATCTTACGTTGTAACTGATAAGTGACAAGAAGCAATTTTTATGCGATAATTTAATCTCCTAAATAAATATTAGCAGCATTTTAAATAGTTTTGATTAGTAAATATTGATATATTTACTTATTTTAATTTTAAACATAATACCTACATAAAATACGAAGTTGATTGTTTTACATAATATTCATTAAATAAATACCTACTATAATACTATAATTATTTATATTATTGCAATTTACAGTATCTATGTAAAAAAACAATCTGTGTAAACCAAACATGTTCATTGTTCATATAATGTAATTTTTTCCCAATAGCGGACAATTTTGTCCTTTCTGTGAGTGTCCGTTATCTAGAGGTTTTACTGTATTACATGAAAATATTTCTTTTTAATTTTTAATATTTGTTGTTTAGACGTGAAGATCAAGTGGTACCAAAATTCTTAAATTTTGTTGATCTCTATGCGAACGAACAGATGGAGAATGCAGACGACGATGAATCAACAAAAAGTGGACTATTTTTAATATGGGTTTAATATAATAATTATTATTTTCTGACATTTGAAATATTTACAGCAGTGACGATGAAGAAATGTCCGAAGTTTTTTGACCTGATGTTTCAACTGATGAAGATTTATAAATAATTATGCTAATGTACATAAACTAATAATTATACTTATGTACAATGAACATAAATTAATCAATACACTTGTATACATAGATTAGTAAGTAATTATCAATAGTTTTTTATTATATATTATGAATTTTCATTTACAAATACGTGTTAAATACTAGATTCAATACAAGCCTCTAACAGCATTTTTTCATCATCTCCAAAGTCTTCACCCCAGACAATTTTTTAAAGTGCTTCAAGACATATCATCGCCAGCCCATATGTCTATAATATAATTTTCTTTAGATATGGTACATTTATTTTTTATACTAATTGCATAAGAACAATAATAATAAAATAAACCTAACCATTTATTCGCTCGTGTTCATTGTCACAATCCTCAAAAATACATGCTTGAAATCGACGACGTTAAGGTAAGTGTCACAATATCATACAATATTTTGTCATATTAATTTCGTCAACAGAATTATTTGCTTATTGGCTTAATAATGAGCTGAAAAATACTCGTCTCGGGGTAGTTGATAACTATAATATATACATATATAAACTGCGTTATATTTTAATTATAATATATTTATGTTATTACACTTACCATATCATCAAACTCGAAATTTGATGAACAATCAATGAAGCCGGTTGAAATGTCAGATGTGTGTAGGCTAAATGCTTGGATATTGTTGTTCGACATTTTTTTTTTCTTCACATTACCACTGTCAGTTTTGAAACTTTTTTTGTTATGGACAATTAATTCATACTTGCAACGCTATATTAACAGTAAAATTGACGTGCTGTTCAAAATAAAGAGAGAATTATGGGATTAATAAGTTATCATAATAACAAATAGTCATTATTTATTTTTATTGAATGTGTATTTATTTACACAACTGCGATCTCTAGTCAAATGTACATTACTCAAATACCAAAAAAATACCTATATAACTAATGACGATGTTAATAATGCATGTATATAATGCATGTACTTGAATAACTATTAAATGTATTTCATTTCAAAATATTATTGTAGAATAAAATGAAAACTCTACTAGTGTTTAATATTTTGATTGCTTTATTATATATATGCACTTTGGTCAGCCTACTTACGGCAGCTGGTAAATACAAATTAACCAAATTTATATTATTAATTAGATATATAATGAATACAGTAATCCCTCGTTATCCGCGGTGGTTACGTTCCAGCAAAGTTGCGTGGATATCGAAACAGAGGATAACGAGACCATAAACATACAATTTCTAATTTTTATTATTTTGAACATCTTTTGTATTTAATTATAAATATCATAAAAAGGTTAACATGTTTTACAATATTTGAATATTTATTTTCTTAAAGTAATTTATTAATTATTTATATATATATAATATATTAGGCCTCACAGTGGATGATGAGGGATTACTGTAATAAGAATGATAAGAACCTACATATATTCGTTATTTTTGATAAACGAAATTTCAAATTCCAAAAAATAAATTTGTTTACGTGTCAGTTTATAAGAAGAAATAATGTGCTATTATTTATCATACTTATATATTATGTTTATAGTCATATTACATTCCGGTTATACCTAAGAAATGATGTAGTTGGCTTTTTCTGAGGATAGTTGGTGAAGTATTGAGAGTGGGTCATGTGGTTTACCAGCTGCTTTTCGTGTCGTAGACTATAATTAAAATGCCATTCAAAATTCAGTAATATAGTATCGAATTTTTAGGAAAAATATTTCTTCAAATTCAATGAAAAGTAATATGAAAACAAAAAAGTATAATAAATAACTGAATTAGCAATTACACATTTACACTGTTACAATGAATAATTGATATTGAGTTAAACATTAGGTACATTTTGCTAGTCGATGCGATTTTGAATTACATGTAGTATCGTCAATATAACATAATAGTTTCTCTTACTATTTTAGATTCTGAGTGGAGGTCCGAATATATTGATTTTATTACGATGTGAGTTGTTTTTGTGTTTGCTAGTTTTTGAAAAATTTGGTCGTTAAACGAAATATTCACTGAATGTGTATATTACCAATTTCTATGCAACGTTTGAAGTTTAAATTCTTACAACATGGATATGCATTGTATTCCTCATCATTCAACGATTATGGTATTTTTTTGTAATTAAAAAACCAATATAGATATTTGAAATTCATACGAAACGTTTGTTTTACTATTTCCTACACTTGACCATTTTTAAGAAAATATTTGACCCGTTTTAAGCTTATTATGAACATTTTCAATTGTCTATTATCTTAGTTTTTTTTCTCTATAAATGTCAACAATATTGTACTAATAAAACTGTATGAAACTTCGGAATTTGAATATACACTAATAATTATATATATTAAAAGAATAACTACAAAATAGGTTCGAGCACACTCAAATTTAAAACTCTAAGCAAGAATATTTTGTATGTATTAAGCACTGTGTTTGAGCCCGAACTCTCTAATAAATAAATGATGGAGAACATACTCTCAAAGAGTTTTGATAAATCGAATGATCGTCTGTATCTACAGTAAGAGTCAGCTCACCCCCCCACGGCACACAGGTGGCTTTTTGAATCTACATGGGATTCTGTGAACCGTCTAAAGCGCTTCTAAACCTTTCCTCCGGTTGTAGTTCCAGTCCGTCTCTCTTGTTCAACTTTATTTTCACAACCTTTACTGAGCTCATCCTAAATATATATTCATCTAGATTCTAGTTTCAGCACATTTAGTTGTGAAATTTAACATACATCTGCATTCGAAAAATCAGATGTCTTGCATGGTGTTATCGACGGTATGGTCTACAGCAGGATGTCCCTTTAAAATTTAAATCACGCTTTGCGAGTTGCGACCACCAGGCACCAGCCCTTTGATCATTATACTGTCAGCATTACAATTCAAGGACTATGAATCACAATTTATTTTCAGAATAACTTAATATAGACATTATAGTTTATATTTTCTTACGTATATTTATTTACACAATATTGTGATCGCTTGTCAAACGTATATAACTCAAAAAAAAATATAGGTACGAAGTACCTATATAACTTATAACGACGTAAATAATTCAAATCCTGGAATAAAAACCAAAATAAAAAAACCATTAGAAAAAACTGAAATGTTTAATTTTATTCAACTTACCTTGATATTATTGTATTTTAATTTTAAATAATACAATTAATAAATTAGTGGTAATTATTTATATTGCTCTATTCAATTTCAGCATTTTGGTAACCACAACAATGTGCAGCAGACCACCTGCTGGTAGATACAAAATTTGTAAAATGTATATTTAATATAACTAAAAATCTACTAATGATAAACAATGAGTAAAATAGACTATCTATGACCACAGAGACATGAAATTTTCACTGAATGTTTATGTAAGAATTTTCTATACACCATACAATATGCAAAATATTTTGACGACTCACGTTGGACTATTTATAGGCATATTAAATTTGCGATTCTTATAAGTTTTTTTTTGATTATCGTCCATAAAAAAATGTTTGCTAGGGCAAAATAATTGAAATCATAATATAATTTTATTTTACAAGATAAGTTTTTGTTAGTTGAAATTACAAAAACATTTGAGTGCAATTATACAGTAAATTGTTTTGTGAGCCTTTGAATATCAAATTTCAACAAAATACTTAAAAAACACTAAAATGTTCTAAATTATTTTAGGTTAGAAATTTATTAAAATTTTTCTTTTCATATTTAAGATTTGAAAATTCGATACAAAATTTCTTATAAGTACGTCTACCTTTTTCAACAAAAAAAAGTTCTACCAGAAACTTGATTTGAATTTTTATGAGAATTTGAAGTTGACATTTTTACAACGTTGGATATTCACTTGATTTCTCATGATACTTGAAATTTACCTGTTTACACGTTTTACAAAAACAGCCCAACTCTTGTATAATTTTTCTAGTAGGCTTGTGAATTTCACAATATCGAGTCTGACATTTGGAATACGTTTTATTCAGTCCGCTTCATGAAATTCTTAGAGAGTTGAAAGTATTTTGTTGGAAAGGTAAGGTCGGTCTTACCAGCTGTTTTGACGCTAAAAGTAATAACCGTTAACAGCGTACCAGCTCATTAGGATCGTTTCAATATACTAAATTATGTTTTTGAAATTTCATAGATTCCGGATGGGAACAATGGTTTAATAATCTCAATGTATTTATTACCACCAAATCTAAAAAAATACCAGCCAGTAACATTACTACATGTAAATTGTACAAAAGAGGGATACTTAATCGTCTCACACACCAAGTTAACAGTATGCTTAGTAAGAAAAAAATGTATCCGTCCAACATGTCCATTATTAGTTAAAATGTTAGAATATGTATCGTTTAATTATTTATAATTGAGTGTATGTGTCGTCAATGATCGATGTTATCTTTAACCGTGATAGTATAACAATTTATTAGCTCAAGAGTTCAAGATAGATATCTAGGATTTCATAGTATGTATATTTTATTGTTTTTCCATAAAAGAATAGTTTCTACAATTTTTCGTTCGTTCATGACGGGTAAAACGTACATATATTATAAATCGCATGCGTTCTGTCCAAAAAAGGTGGTCAATATAATGAAATATGCAGCTGAGTATCAATGGTATGTGTATATCAATATACAAGCTTTAATCTAGTTTTATATTTTGAGTGGTAATATTAATATATAAATGTATTCATTACCTTATACTGACGCTGTACGCATTGACTGCAAGTGCAAAAGTACAAGGACGTTATGGCGACCCGTTTCCACTCCAACTGCATCCGTACACTCGCTGGATAGACACTTTTTTGTCGGTATACATTTTTTCGGACCACATGTAACTAGGCCTATACAATAAACTATAAAAAAAATGATCGCTTCGTTATTAATACTTTAACCAGTCAAATCATAAAATACATTTAGTACACAATTAATTGATAAGAATTTATAATTATTAAAATTATAACCGTTTTTTTAATGAACTAATTCTATTATTTGAATATATTTCTATAATAACTATTAATTATTATTATGGTTGTTTATTTTTGTTGGGATTAATAAATTATCATAATAAAAAATATTCATTATTTATTTTTACTAAATGTGTATTTATTTACACAACTGCGATCGATAGTCGAATGTACGTTACTCAAATACCAAAAAGGTACCTATATAATTAATAACTATGTTATACATGCATGTATAACTTGCATCAGTAATAAATGTCAAAAAACATCAGGTGGTACTTTAATTGTTTTTATTTATTTATTTGTACATTTTAACTTTGCGAACCCAGTTACAATCACTATAGACATAAGGCTAGGGTTTACGTATTTTAAATTTTAATAAATATTTGTAAATACATTGCTATTAATCCTAAATATTATAATATGCCAGTATAGATAGTTATATAATTTCCATATTCAAACAACTTTAAGTATATTTTGTGATGTGAGATTTATGATTGAAATAATTCACTGAAAGAAAATGGTTATGCATACAAAATAAAGATGTATAACAATAGAATTTAACTTAATAAGTTATTGACACAGAATGTAACATTTATCCAGTCAAAAGATTATTTAGTTAATACCTAAAGAAAATTATTTTAATTAGACACATTAAAACAGATCATTATTTCAATAATTACTAACTAGTTGCGTTGATCTGTTTATAGGTGCATTTTGACCATTGTATCTTTTCAATAAATTCATTTGTCATTAATTATTTCCTTAAAAAACAATTTTTATGAATCATATTGTAATATAATACATACATAATATTATTACATCAGAATAAATGTCTAAACAAAAAATCAAGAACGTTTACATGCCGATCTCTGACTCGTCAAACATTTTTTTTTGTGGAGGCTTAAACATTTTTATAATTTATTTTAAACCTATATTGGTACCTAAAAACTTTTTAGCCGATACTTTTAGAACTATTGCTCGAAACCTATACTGGATACCAATTTTGAATATTTGTTAAATCCGTTCAAACCCGAATCGATATCGAAACTGAAAGTGAAATCGAAAAAAATAAATACCGATATTCAAAACCAAAAATTAAATCTTAACAAATAAATTCAATATCCAAACCAGAAATCAAAATCAGAAAAAATGATTTTGGTTTGAACACCTGTTTTGAATTCTCAATACTTTCAACTACGTATCAACATAATATAAAAAAAAGCGGGTAAGTGGATGTCGCTTTGCTGTACCTACATTAGGTGTCTAAGAGTTCGATGTAATGGTTAATGGATGGTATTAAATTTGAATTCAATGATATCAAATAATTGTATACGAAAAACGAATCTGATCGGAGACTGTAATTCAGCTTAGGATATTTTATATTGTTATTAGTTATTAAACTATTACTTACTATAAATATGATAGCCGGTAATTCGAGTTAATATTATTCTTAAATTATCAGTGTGTTGTATATGTATATTATAGACAGTTGTCAAAATAATATTATTTAATATATATGTTATAAAGGTGGGGATATTTTAAATTTTAAATTATTGAAGTTGGTCAGGCCAGCGAAACAAGATGTGCTGAGGCGACAATAATATTTTCTATATAACATCGCCGTAAGCGCAGGCGCGGGGAGTCCCGTCGTCGCAGGGTGTGAGGACGCGGGTACGACGACCGGTCCGTGTGCCAGTCGTAATACGGGCTAGGCGATCCGAATTTGCTAAGTGTTTTATTTATGTTCATTTTTAATAAAAAGTGTTTCCGACCCCCAAAAATTATTTGTTCTGTTTGAGTAGTCTCGCAATTCTACCGTACTCTTTAAAATCCGATCTAGATTAGAGGTTAGAGGTGCAGTAGAGGTTCAAACATTTTTGTTATTTATTTTAAACCTATATTGGTAGTACACTTTTGAACCGATATTTTTTGAACCTATACTGAATTCAAATTTTAAATACCAGTTAAAACCATAAACACCCAAGATCGATATCGAAACTGAAAAAAAATAGATACCGATATTCAAATCCGAAAATGAAATCGGAAAAAATAAATAGTATTGTATGAAACCCAAATCAAAATCAAAATAAAAAATATGTTTTTGTTTTCAATCCCTATTTTGAACTCTCAATACATTCAATTACTGAACTAAGTATGACTATAATATAAAAAATGTATCTAATACAAAACTTAACTCACTTTTATACCTATTTTATACTCAATTCCATGTTTATATTTCAGCAGAAAAACTTGCAGCTACTATAATATAATCCTGAAGCTAAGTGACAATAAATAATAAGTTACACATTTATAATTTATTTATCTATACAACTTACAAGCAAAATGATAGTTGCAGAAGGGAAACGAAACTAGCAAATTCATACAACGATACAAACAAAAGTATATTAATAATTTAACGTATAAATATAATATTATGATTATAATATAACTATCCATATGTAAAAATATTGAATCTACCTGAATATATCTGGAAGGGGGTACATGTGAACTCCCCTGATTGCGACCTTTTCAGCCTTTTTTAAATGTAAATTCAAAATTTATATATTTTTTACCAGTAAAAAATGTAAATTTCATCATGATGTTTTATTGAATGAAAACATGTAAACTCCATAGATGGTAAAATTCGTCAAAACTGAATCTAATCATTATAAAATATATATATATTTAAATAAATGTAAAAAAGATATAACTTTCTAAATATAATATATAGTATATAATTACATTTTGAAACATTGGTATTTATAGGTATATTGCATCTGTTGTATGGATATTTAATCCATATAACATTATTAAATTACACTAGAAAACCAATACCTGTTTAATATATAATATATTAGATCTGTATATACTTATTCAAGCGACCTCGTCATGTTTTTTTTCTCATCTCACATGTAGGTACTCGTTGTGCTGAATTGTATACTTCTTGGATAAATAAAAAAAAAAAAAATCTGTATGCAATTATTATGAACATATTATTATTGATAACTATAAATATTTGTATGCATCAGCATAATATTATCATCATGAGGTGAAAGGGGCTTGTTATAGCCGTGAGAGGTGGTGTCACCAGGGATAATGAAATGTAGTTATCTGCGGGTATAGGGTATGAGCAAACGCTAAAGAAGATTCTTTCAACACGGTTTGTACCATCAAGGGCGCCATTTAAAATAGAAAAACATTATTTTTGGTTAGCTTCAAGGTGACTTGAGGATAGAGTTTAGAAGTGGAGCACTTCGCGGATGTTTAGGTAGTCTTATTGTTATGCAATTAGTATGTTCTAGTAGGAAACCAGCATTTGATGCTAAACATTTGTTTTGTAAACAGTCAAAGCAAAGTTGGTCTTTTGCAAGGAAAAATAACAACTCAAAATTCGAAAAGGATTCTAACGAGTGGTATATATGATAAACAGATATCACTGACAGTTTTGAAACTTTTGTTGTTATGTACAATTAATTCATACTTGCAACGTTGTATTAACAGTAAAATTGACATGATGTTCAAAGTAAAGAGAGGATTATGAGATTAATAAGTTATCATAATAACAAATAGTCATTATTTATTTTTATTAAATGTGTATTTATTTACACAACTGTGATCTCTAGTCAAATGTTCATTACTCAAATACCAAAAAGGTATATAACTAATGACGATGTTAATAATGCAAGTATAACTTGAATAACTATTATTAAATGTATTTAATTTCAAAATAATATTGTAGTTTGCCTTTAATAATAAAATGAAAAGTCAACTAGTGTTTAATATTTTGATTGTTTTATTATATCTATGCACTTTGGTCAGCCTAATTACAGCAGCTGGTATAAATACAAATTAACCAAAATTATATTATTAGTTATATAATGAATATTAAGAATGATCAAAACATACGTATTATATTCATTAATTTTTTTTTAATGAAATTTCAAATTCCAAAAAATATATTTTTTTTACTTGTCAGTTTATAAAAAAAAATAATTTATTATATATTATATATTATATTTATAGTCATATTATATTCCGTTTCTATCTTAGAAATGATATAGTTGGCTTTTTCTGATTATAGCTAAAGTCAATCGATAGATACCCACAACGCTATACGTTCCAGTTTTGATCTTAAAGAATTCTTTACGTCGATCGAGAGGATTACATATAAAATGTCTTGGTTTTATGGTTTCGAAGCATAGGGAAACACGTGTGATTAAACTAACCGTCCATAGAATGAATATTAATATTAAACGATAATAATCTCGTTAGTATCTTGGAGCTGTGGTGAAATTACCGAGGGGGGGATAGATCCCCCAATGAGCTGTATTTTTATACTGTCGTATACACACAAATAGTTCAGATACAAACTTATTAATTAATATTTATTATTAAACTAAAAAATAAAATAAAATATTTAGTTGTGTAGTTAGTACCGATCATAAATATTTACTATTTAAACGATGAGCATGATTTTAAAATATATGGTCTGTTTCATTTTAATTCTTATTTATTAATAAACACTTGGGTGCCCCGCCACACCTGAATATAATTACAGTACCTACTTCCCACACACTACATGCATATTATAGATTACAGATGGTAAGTAATCCGATGATGGGTAAAACCACTATTTCAAAAATTAAAATTTAATAAAGAAAATCTAACTTCAAGATTTACATTTCGTAGAACGAATAATAATACTACGAACGCGGGCCGACACTAAGTATCTATACATTGATTATCGCGATAACGTACACACACTACATACTGTGACATTCTCGATTCTCACATAGCCACAGTGTCAGGAAATTGATTTAATTTTCATAAGCTAAAAGCAAAACGGAGCAAAACAAAAGAAAACTACCGGCAACTAATAATACTCTTTTGAATTTTTTTTAAAAGAAGCCTGGAATTGACGTAAGTATTACAATTTTAAATTATTCAAAATACTGCACATAATTAATATATGTATGAAATATGCATGACGTATTTTGTACACTTATATTATAATTAACATTACAACTCGCATCAAAAATAAGCAAAATTAAATAAACACCAGTTAAAATGTATTGACAATTTAACTGCAGTCGCTGCAGTTTATTCAATAAATATTATGTCATATTAATTATTATAAAAAAATGAATGAGTCTACTAAAAAATAGAATTTAATAATTTATAATAATAATAATTAATAATACCTAATAATAATTTAAAAAAAAATTTAATTCGATTTTACCTATTCATTTTCTTGTTTATTAATTAAAGAAAACATAGAGAAATCTGATGATGTATTACCTCATGTTGAAAATAAAAATTTGATTCAAACTGTCCAAGTAACAAATAAGGTAGGTACAGTTTTGTTCTAAGGTATTGTACCTGTAGCATGACTGCTAACACTGTATATCATTAATAAATTATTTTCTGCTTCGTAATTTTTTAGAGTAATCATTTTGATGCAAGTCAAAATGACATTGCTTTGTTTATTAGACATAATTTGCTATCAGACGAAGATAAAAATAACCTGAGATTTTCGAACTTAATGGTCTGGCAATGTTGGCAATTCACAATGACATAACATTTTCAAATGAAGAGGTCATTGATGAACTTGCTGAAAAGCCCAGAAATTTGGACATAATATTGTAAAATATTAAAACTATTTATTACATATTTGTTATTTGTAAATATATAGTATTATGTAATATAAAATGATTATATTGACATGTTTTGAGTTATTAAATTATACCAAATATAGATAAAAGGGTGTGGGAGGCAAAGGCCTCCACAAGTTTGCTATACAAATTTATTTCAATTCCCCCCCTCAAAAAACATTCTCAATTACGCCACTNAAATATATAGTATTATGTAATATAAAATGATTATATTGACATGTTTTGAGTTATTAAATTATACCAAATATAGATAAAAGGGTGTGGGAGGCAAACACATCCACAAGTTTGCTATTCAAATTTATTTCACCCCCCCCCCAAATAAGACATTCTCAATTACGCCACTGTCTTGGAGTGCAATGTTGAAGTATGGGAAGTGTCCTTCCGAATACACAAGGTAGGAACTAAAAGAAGTAGCAGTAGTGATTTGTCGTAAATATTAGTGTGCTATGTACTGACGTCCCGCCTATACGTATATACTTGAGATAGCGAGGGGAACGAATGAGATTGTTCACACTAGGATGTGATTGACCTTGGGAAAGCGTCTTGAAAGATTTAGGATAACAACTATAGTCTTTGTGTGCGTAGTTTTGAGAACTCGACAAACGAAATCGCGTTTTGAAAGATATATGGAGAATTGGAGACAATTAGACACATGCATACCTATATGGACATAATTAATGAATAATATAAATATTGTTCTATTATAATAAATAGCCGTCAGATACTCAGATAATATATCGACAGCGACAACCGCGTAGGCGTAGACCGTTTCCTGGAACTCGTACGCACACGTGCAATAGTAAACGGGGTCAGCACTATCTTATAGTTAGGAGAAGAGTGGAGAGTAGGCCTATAAAACAGGAACCCAGCCAAACGATATTCAGACGTGATATACCAGAGCCAGTACGAGCACCTTCACGCCAGTCCACTCTCTGATAAATTTCAGTGTACCAAAAGTCCAAAAATATTCTACCAGTTTTACATGTCAAATAATTCCTATGTTCATAATAATCTAAAATTGAATTAGAATTATTTACACCTTGTCATCATTTATACAGTTTTTTTTTTATTAAAAATTAAATTTCAATTATGTTTTTTTTTAAATATTTATAGTCATTACTCATTAGAGAATTTCGAATTCTATTTGTTTTATTTTAATTTTTGTCGATAAAAGTTAACTTTTTTCATAAAAAACCTTGTAAATTGATTACAGTAGAACTCCGATTATCCGAACGCCAATCATCCGGACGTTCAATTAACCGGATGAGAAAAAAAAACGGCGAGTGCCATTATTCTTACACCTGTCTCGTAGTCGTTTTTAGATTAGGTAAAGAATATATATTATATTTTATTCTTAATAACATCCATCATTACGACGTAAGTACATTACAAATTCTAAAGCTTTTGGTGCATTGAATTTGGCATTTAAATGGTCTGAGAGGCAAGAAAAATCGAACTCCAATAATTAAGGATTATTTTTTTCAGTTAAATATATAATAAAATCATTTTTTTAAGGTTACGAATTTTAAATTATATTACATATTATATATTAATGATAAATACATGCGTACAATATATTCGTACAATTATATAACTTTTGATATATTATAAGTCAATCATCCGGATATTTGCTTATACGGACCATCCTTGACATTAATTAGTCCGGATAATCGGAGTTCTACTGTACATGATTTGAAATATATTTTTACAAAATCAGTTTAAAATTTTAAAAATATATAGTCGCGACTTTTTAGCATTCGAATTTTGATAAAATACGTAAAAATCACGAAAATTAGAAAATCATTTTGAGTTCGAAATTCATAATACTTTTTCTTTTTAAATCTAAGATTTTTAAATTGAAAATAATATTTTTCATAGGTGCGTCTATCTTTATCAAAATACAAATGTCTACCGGAATGTCTAAATCAATTTTCATGATCTTTTGAATTTGAACATTGACCATTTTTTTTAAAAATATTTGACCCGTTTTAAGCTCATTATGGACATTTTCAATCGTCTATTATCTCAGTTTTTTTTCTCTATAAATGTCATCGATATTGTGTTCGTTGGGTCAAAACAAATGAAAAGTAATGTATAGTTTCTGATATATCATTTCAATAGAAGTTAAAAAGATTAAAAATGCAGAGGCACAGTTTTTTTTTTATTATAAATTAAATTTCAAATGTTGACAAAATGAATTAAATATAAAATGTACAAATTATATTTGTTGTAGTTAAAATTGCTTATCAACTTTATAGTTAAGGTTAGGACATTTTGAACAAGGCTAAATGTAAGTGGTTAATTCTGTAGAAAAAAAGTTAAAAATAAATTAGCACAGTTTTTTTTTATTGTTATTTTAAGTTCTAGTAATTTAGATTTAGAACTATAGTTCTATAGTAATGTTAAAATAAAAATAAATCGTATAGGTACTTAAATATAATTAATATATTATACTCTGTCTCAAAGAAAACAATCACATTCTGCGCATCTTGAATGATTCGATTGTCACGTGAACCACTTGATCACGCCAACATCGGAAGGTGGTATGAGACGCGCAGCACAGCAGTACATCAGTTAACATTCTGATTATTCTCCTTTGAGGCATGCATATTACTTTATAGAGTGACCTAAATCACCCGAGAATGTAGTGAAGACTACTGAGTGTCCCAGCTCGATTACCGTCCGGGAGTACGCGTCACAGTCGTGTAACCGCCAACCGGCGGCGTGGTTGGTTAGTGTCCGTCGGTCGTGTGTCGGCACTGTGGTATTGGCCACTCGCAACGCTTCGTCCGTGTCGGTCTGCGGTAGCTGGCTGTGGCTGGTAGTTGACCAACTGGTGATTTCTTTTTCAAATATTTACGACTCTCGAAATATCACCGGAACTTGTACTTGTGCCGTTACTAGTAGTATACACAATGCGCACTGTTGTCCTGGTTGTAAGTTGGTTTACCCGACACTTGTTTCTGGTGTATACCAATGCCATGTTGCACTGTTGCTGTGAACGACTGTCACATACGTAATAGTTGTTAGCTCCGATAAGACCCGTTTAGTAGTGATTGACAATGTTTTCTTTAGATACAACTATTAAGTAAAAAAACATATTTTTTTTTGTTATTTTAGGAATTGGCGAAACATCATGCCGGTATTTAGGTGAAACGGAAAAAGATGGTCAAAAATGTCGCGCAGACAAGGTGAAAGTACATAAACTTCCGCCAAAATGCACATCATTTGTGTATAATGGCGTTATGGTTACATCAGATTATAATATCCAGTATAAAGACGATAAAGACGATATGGCCGGAAGGGGTAAAACAACAATTTTTAATATAGAATCTATGTTATTGGAAATAACTAAATAGTTCTACTTAACGGGGTTATAGCAGTGTTAGGACTTATCTAGATAAATTCACAAGATTATTATTTTGTGAAAGTTAGCTAGATCTGTTATTAGTAATAAATATTCTGTATTCGGTTGTGAATAAATAAAAAATATACTAATTAAATTATTTATTTAGTATCATAATATATTACTGTTATTAGTCATGACCGGTGTTATTTCCTAGAATTTTATAAATATTTTTAAATTATAATTCAGATGCGTATAATAGATACAGACGACAAGTAATCACTTCCGTCCTACAGACAAAATTCCATTGAATATAATATCATTATTATATTTATTGAGAAATAAAGATAAACCAGCAGTTTATTCTTTCTGTATTCGCTGTACATAATTCGTATCACCAAAAAATACTACCAAAACGACCACTGCCTACTTGGCTACTAGTAAAGTTAGATATTGATTTTTGTGTTAGTCGGTATTGACTCATAAAATTAACAAAAATGACAGTAAATCAAAGTCATTTTGGGGAATAATTATTTAATTATGTTATTAAATGAGTCTAAATGTTTTGAAAATGGCATTAGCACCAATATAAAGTTTAATATTTTACGAAGAAATTTCTAATCATCATGTAAATATTTTTGAAGTAAAACAAAATAACAACTTTTATCGGCCTTATCGTTATTGTTTATTTGAATATAAATAATATAATTTCATAAAGTAATATTATAATAATTAGATGCACTATAAAAGATAAAAGAATATAATGTCATTAGTTTCTAGCAAAATTTAGTTTAAATTCTGATCTACGGTAATTAATGATTATTTATGTTTTTTTTTACAGTATGCTTATATGACCTTGTACATTTTGATAAGCAGGCAAAAAATGTGTACTTATTTTTTTCACATGGAATCACACGTGATTGGCATCATATGCTTATAAATGGAGATTATACGATTGTGAGTAGAAAAGTGCGCATTGTGCGTAATAAGTATTATGTGAAAGGGTTGATTCTGGATGGATTTCATTATGCTTATGAAAATGTAAGTAAAGTGTGTAAAACTACGAATGATTTTAAGTTTGTTTATGGTAGATATATTTTAATTAAATAGAATCATAGGTATGATCCCGTACTATTCATATAGCATATGTACTCTAATAGCTTTAGTACGTTCGAAAACACTTCCCTGCAAACTAGTTGATGAGTACCTAGAAAAAATTTCGATGAATCGATATGAAATAAGTTCAACCATATCTTTTTTTATCTGGAGTACAAGAAGGAATCACATTTGAATCACTTCTACATCACCCCGTTATTTTTAATCGACATCATGGAATGACAAAATATTTTATGCTAAAAAAGCTCTAATTTCTGAATTTTGGACTTCGACCCGCAATAAATGTTTTGAGTTTAATCGGTTTTACTTCTCGATGCTGCCTTTTATATTATTTCTTCTGCGTTAGTTCACGAAAAACTACGGAACAGCTAGCCAATCCACCTCCGGGTTTAGCAGACTTCCAATCTTCAAGAAATCCACTGAATACTTTCAAAAAAAATTTTTAATGTAAATTAAAAAAAATTAAATAGATGTCGCTTTGCTGTATAGTAAATTACTGATGGGAACTGTAATGGATGGTATAAATTTGAATACAACAATATAAAATCGTTGCATACGATTCTGAGCGAAAACGGTCCGTCAGTCTATAATACTCAGTATTTTAGTATATTTGATGATACTATTATGATTAAACTATTAAATTAATTTATGGAGTAAACCTTAGATTTCTTTGGGGGGGGGGGGGGGGGGGCAAAACGGGGTCTGGCAAAACGTACGTTGTTTTTCGTCAAGGATTAGTTCTAGAACAAGTACGTAAATATGGAGGGAAATTTAAAATTGAATAAGATACCGCGTTAAAACCATAAAAACATAAAAACCTAGTATCCTTACTTTCTGGAATGTATTTATTGGGATTTTCATGTGGATACTGATACCTACCTTCCCCTGATCCATCTAAATATCTATATTGAATTTCAAATAAATCGGACGAGTAGTTGTGAAGATTACGATTGCGTAAAAAGCGACATTCATTTTTATTTATATAGATAGATAAATAGTTTATGATTTTATACATTTCTATTATATAATAATTTATTCATCATTAGGCTGTTGGTGATATGTACCAAAACTTAACCGATTACGTAAAAGCTATTAAACATTTTGATGCAAAATTGGAAATTGGGCTTTATTTGAGTGCTAATACTTTCATAAAATATGAAAGTAAAGTGGAGTGTATCGACAAAGACGATGACTGGTACCAACCACCTTGTAATAAGCCATGTAAGCGGATAAATAAAAATCAAATTAGTAGAAATACAACTGCTTATACATACAGTTACACCAAATAATTTAAATTATAATTGTGATTTTTAAGATATAATAGATATCTTTATTCTACAACCAACCAATTTTTCAAATATAAAATTGTATTATAATTTGTTGTGTTTTGTATACTAGATTTTGATTTCTCAAAGATGAATTCAATTATGGATTTCTACATAATTGAATTTCATACTTTAAACAAATGTATTACTGATTTATTACGTACTGGAATTACACCTTTGGATTCATCAAATCCGCATATTTTTTCATTAGTAAGATTTGTATCAAACACATAACTTCAAAATTAAAATTGAAAATTTTATATTTTTTTCAGAACTATTTTGCAGCACTTTTAGCAAATTCAACCATTGATAAGCAAAAATTATATTTTGAATTCTTAATAAGTCCTATACCGTTGACCAATGAAATTGGAAATTTCCCGAATTGTGAAATATCATATAACGAGGTATAAACATTTTAATTCAAAGTGCCCATCAGTTTATAAATAAGTATGTAGGTCATATAGATTTTTATCAGTACCTAAGTCTTACGCCGATTTAAAGGACTGGAGACATAAAATAATATTAGTGCATTTGGTTTCCAAAATACATTGAGTGAATATCTGCCACTCTTACTGGCGAATGCCCATTAGTGACATCTCGTAGATATACGGGCTTCAAGTTTGGCGTGGAGTGTCATTTGATGAGAGGAAATTAAAGGTCGCCAAATCGGCGCTGAGGTTAAGAAACAGGAGATCACGGTATTTCATTTTCTTTTGTAAGATTAATAATAGTACAACACACAAAGAAGGAGTGGAAACAGCTTGTTAATACTTTATGAAATACGAAAATATTTCACAAAATTGTTACGTGAAAAGTCGTTCACTTTGTATACTGAAATACAACATTTATAGCATAATATACACATCGACATTGATAATATCCATTATTATTTATTATTATTTAAATCGATTAACCACGTCCGCTGTCAGAGTATAGTTCATATTAGTATATCGTTGTAAAAAGATCAAATATAGGTACCCATTGACCATTGAACATTCAATATTAAATTTGGTGTCCTGTCTTGACATCTCCTCTCACACAACTCCAATTTTGACCAGATATTTACATCCTGGTATCCGACGATTGAAGTCACCGCACTCCTCGTCAACCATAATTAACTATCATTATTCATAAAATCGTTTTACCTTCTGGGGAGTAAACACAATTTCCCCAGTACCAGATTTAAAAATATCTGATCAGAAATTTAAGTACGTACAAAATATACCCAATTAACTTTCGTAGTTTGTGATTGAGTGAATTTTTTTGATGAAATTGACTTTTACCGATTTATGTAATTATTTTTTGGATAGTTTGACTATTAATCATTATATTTAAAGTACATATTATTTAAATACTTTGTATAAATGTTTACAGTATTGTGAAAACAAAAATAACAAAAAAAGTAAATTTTGTGCCGATGACTCAGAAGCATTGTACCAAAAAGTAATACTTTGTAATGTATAATATTATGAAAATTAATTTAATTTTTTTGTTTAATTTTTAGGGTAAATTTACAAAAGCCAATGCAAAGGGATTCATAGGCATGTATATAGATTTAGTCGATCGTGATAATAAATGTCATTGTGGAAAGTACATGGCGTTTGATATGATGGTAAAAAGATATAATGGTGAAACGGATCCAAAGGATTGCGAACCATTAAGAGGCTCTTGAATACTTGAATTAATAGTTATTGTCTTATACTGTAATTAGGTACAGTTAATTGATTATAGTGTCTTCTACTAGTTACTTGATTCTCATAGAACATTTTTTTTATTTTTTTGTAATCCAAAAACTATTAAAACCATCTGTATACTTGAAATTTTTTAAGAAATAAACAATCTGTGTACTATTCCTAGAGAACAATTAGAAATAAAAATATATGATAACAGAAGCAACCATGAATTATGATAAAAACGTCAGGGAACTAAAACATCTAAAAATATTGGGATTTTAGGACAGTTTTTCTGTATAAACATTTTAGTTCAAATTCAGACAAAATGAAATAAGTATTTAAACGAAGAATGACGATTATATAGTTATTTTGTTACAAATAAAAATATTATTTATGTACACTTGAAATTTATAATTTAAAAATTTAAAAGTGTTTTATTATATTTATGCACACAAAAATATTTTCAAATGCAAATTGTTCGTCAAAACTTAATTAAACTTACAGTTATGACTAACTGCATCACAGTAGAATAAATTACTTTAATTACGATTAAAATTACTAGTAATTAAGTTAATACAAAAATTATTGTGATGTATAATTTATACTGCACATTAATCATTATAATCAAAATTATAAAATATTAACTAGTGTTGTTTTTACTAAACATAAAATATTTTTTAATGATCTTACAGACTGAATAAAATATTGAAAAATAATAAACAGTCACATAAATAATGTGTTTGTAACTACAGTGGTCGCCGCTTACAGTGTTCACTGGTTATAAGAATCAGCCGCTTTTAGTGATCAAAAATATCAGGAACGGAACAAACAGCCGTCTTCAGTGCATTTTTCGCCGCGTACTGTGATCAAGTTTTCGGTTATTGTGATCAGAAATAATTATGTCGGAAATACAATTTATAATAAAATTACCTATTTTTATGTACACAAAGGGGGAAAAACGATTACGAACGGCCGTCCTAATCTTGGGATGTGACCCACGTAATGAGTGTACTTCATATCGTAATATCGTATATGTTTGAAATCGTTTGTGTTCCCGTTATTACCGATATGTACAACTAGAGAACACTGAGAAGAGCTATTGAAGAGCATGACATAGGTACAAATTACTTTGATACGTTGAACAACTTAGAGCACATTATGATGGTTTCCATACCAAAAAAACAGGGGCAAATTACCGACTTTTTTAAAAAAACCTAAGTTTTAAATTTCGTATGTATGAATGTATATTATTTTATTATATTAATTTTTAAATTTAAATTTAATTAATATGTACTACTGTATTTTGATATTTTGCACAGTATTTTTAATGTTTTGTACAACATAAAATATGTATTTAAAAAAATTTTCGTTATTTTTTCGATATTTTTTGAGTCGCCGCTTATAGTGATTTCCGGTTATAGTGATCAAAATACTCTCGGACGGATGTGATCATTATAAGCGGCGACCACTGTA